CCGAGCCAACGTGGGTTGTATTGTATCCACGATTGAATATTCTCGCCCTACATAAAGGGATAAAGGGCCCATTGGCCATTGCATACGCTGCACTACTCCGGTGACAGAGACGGACACCATTCACTGATCGAACGACCACGTCCCTGCCAACTAGCTTCTGCTCACGTTGCGCGCGCGATGGAGATGGACGGGCATGATCCAGCCGCTACAGGTCCATGGTGGTGCCCCGACGACTGCCCTGGCGAGGTCGCGGCCGCTGCAGCAGCCGCCGCCGGCGACGACGACGACGACTTCCTCGACATGTTCGTCCTCAGCTCCATGCATGCATGTGGCTAGGTTTGGTTGTGTCCTTCCGCAATGCATGATTCATCGTCGTACCTGTACGCGTGTGTATGTGTTCTTGCAGTGAATATCTGCTCGGGATGGGGTGGGAAGCAGGCGCGCCTGTTTCCTGCGTCCGCTCTTCTCCACCGCGCGCGCCCCCTGAGCCGCCACCTTCCGAGGACGTGATGGCAACGTGGCTCTACCCAATCGTCGGCGGCGACGAAAATGCCGGCAACGGCCCGATGGTGAAGAACCAGCCGTCGGCGATGGCCACGGAGACCAAGGGGAAGCTTCCTGCTACGGAGGGCGTGGCCGATGTCAAGGTAAGAACACGTGAACACAATTACTATGCGTGTCTTTTTAGTTGCTATATACATGCATCTAAAACACCCAATGGAACTTGGGTCTAGGGCTCTAGGCGCACCTTAATTGAATATTCTTTTAATATATAAAAATAAAATAAATGTCACAGATACGGTCTAGTGTTATGCTCACGTGTAAAATTTCACGAAGAAATTACTTTCGTGGTCTAATGTGTGCAAGAAACAAAGTCAGTTATATATAAAAGTCACTATTCAAGTTCTTTGAAGTTACAACTTCGTTTTTCTCGTCCAAAAGAACACTGAAGGCATTTCTTCATGAAACTTCATACATGAGTAGAACACACGACACGACCATGTTCGCCAAAAAAAATAGAATTGCTTGGTTTTAATATTTTTACAATTTAAAATGCCATATAGGGTGCGCCTAGACCCATGTCCCAAAAATATGCACCACTCTATTCATGTGCTGTCAAGTCAGTTAAAGTAGATAAGAAGCTCTTCGCTCTGACTCTTCTTCTTCTTGCAAGATTTTTTTGGTGAACTTAAGGAAACATAATGATCATTTTCTAACAAACGGTGGATTTATTAACTTAAAACGAAGCGTGAAGGGAAAACAAACACGATGAGCATATACCCGGTCTCTGCATAGCTAAGATGTACATAGTCAATACTAACGCACACACAACAGATCACGTCAACATTGAGCAAATTTATACAAGACCGAAGCCATGTCTATGGTCCGATATTATCTGGACGTTTGACGTGATATAGAATGTTAGACACGTACTAATATATTTTTACCTTTTTCTTTAACTTGTATAATTTCTCAAGTAATACTCCGGATGCAACATATGCAATAAGGATTCTGCTTTCTGTTTTACTTTTCTTTGCTCTTAATCTTCCCTAAAACTCAAACCTCAACATCTTGTATAGTCTTTCTGTGTTTTTAAGGGAATCAGCCTCCTTTTGCAATAAACATGGTAGGATATACGTACGTGTGTTTATAGGGATGAGTGTACATGCGTTTGTGTGTGCGCGCGCGCATCTGTACTGTGATTCTGAAGAAGAAAAAAAGCACTATAGGAGTGTTAATTAAGAAGGAAAATAAGTCATGTTATAAGAAAGTCTAAAGACGTTCCTCTGAGTTGCGAGGATGTTTCCTTTTCTAAAAACGTGTACATGTACTCAGATTATCCTAATGTGTAGTGGTCTGATCTGTGTGTTTCCGCAAGCATGCATGCGGACTGATTTTTCGTGACCAAAGAGGACAACATCATGCAATTTCCCAGGAACAAGCAAGTGGACTCAATTTTCCATAATAATTTGCACATAGTGGAGAACAGAGCACGGCTCGGG